ATACTATGGAGTATTATCATAGAATTTTGTAGCATAGAATTTTTCAACTAAATTTTTCCACTTTAATTGTTTTTATAATATAGTTTGAATAATATGAATTTTCTTACTACCTTAACATGAGTGATATGAATGATAAAAAAATTATTTGTATTGTAACTTTATATGTAAATAAAGAAATATTTAATGCGTTTTAACTATATATAAATATGGCATATAGATTAAATAAAAATTTAGTATAAATTCAATTTTTAATATGTAATTGCAATAAAACTAAGATTTAAAAAGAAATTGCAATTTTATCAATAACTATATAAATACATTAACAACTTATGCTGTTTTTAAAACTAACAGTATAATAGTATTAGATTTTTTAAAAATCATTTTTAATATAAGTAGGGACTTATTATTACAGTGAAATAAAATAAAAATAAGATGTGTAATGATATTATATGTGCAATACAATCTAATATGTCATGCTACAAGCAAAAGCTTACTTAAAGTGTATTTGAAACATACAATTAGCAATATAAAGTTTATTTTTTAAATTGTTATTACAATATCAAATTGAACATAAACATAGTAAATGCTTAAATTTTCAAAAAAAAACTATACCTTTAAGACCTGATACTAAAACCCTCCACGGGTATCTATGACCATATGATGCAAGATTACCACGTACCAAAATGTATGGCATCTGTGATATTATGCTAAAACAAATTTTATTATAAAGCATACATACTTGAAATATGCATATACACAACGATTTAGCTTCATTTAACAGTAAGTACATTTCTCATTCAAATACAAATATATATAGATACATAGCAATAAATAACAATGTTTGTTCTCATAAATAAAATTAAATCATTAAAATAATCATTATAGTTTTTTGAATGAAAATGGTTATTTGGTACTAAACTTGATGCTGCAGAAAATATTAACCTATAAAAGAAGAAACTAAGTAAAAGGGTTTAAACAATTTACACATTCTTTTAAATCTTTAAATTAGGTGTAATTATTAATCCTTTTAAAGTCACATTTTAAAATATATTGAAGTTATATAAAGGTTATGTTAAAGAAAACAATACGTATGCTTAAACTTAAACTTAATAAACAAATAATTTTTACTTAAATAATAAATAAAATTTGTTTTATTCCTTAAAGACACAATATAGTGTACAGAACACTTATTTTTTATTTGATACACACATAAAACAACATTTTTATAGTATACTCGACACATAAACAAAGCATAATTTGAGACATAGTTAAAGTTCGTTTCTAATAATTATATACTATAAACATACATTCCTCAAAATTCAAAAGTGCTAGTGCATGTTTATAATTTGTTTGTGTTTGATAATCGAAAAAATGAGTGGAAAATTTTGAAAAATCTTACACAGTACATAAATAAAATTACTATTCATTGACTTCTTGTTTTAGAATTAGTATCTTGAACTTGCACTAAATTATATACACTCACCTGTTAACATATACAGAATTTAATTCGCCAATGTTGTTCTTAACCAAAAATTTCTTTATATTTGATAGTAACTGCTAAAAATTACAGAACAAACAATTCAAACTGGTATGATAAATACTGCCAAAAACTTCTCAATTTTTATGAAATCTCACACGAAATTATTTCACAGATAAATATCAACTATAAACGAATAGATATATAATGTAACACACACAAAAGTTACGAAAGTGCGCATAATCTACTCCAACTATACTAGGTTAACATTCATAAATTCCAACACTGTTTAAACGAATAGCATTTGGGTTGTTTTTCAAGTAAGTTTATATGCATATTTATTGCTTGAGGGTATGATAACTTTGTAATGATTGGCTACTTTTATACGCACGAACAGAATTCTCCAATAACACTTTTCATTGACAAATTACTCTATCTATTATTATCATATTCTAAATATTCTCCTTACCTCAAGCATTTATATGAATCAGAATAATATACAGACTATTATACGTAACTTATAAAAGCTGAAGTTAATAACTATTTACAATAATAAACTCGCTTGTATCAATATTAATTTTTACCTTTTGAATCTATATATGATTTACAAAACATTGTTATAGAAATTTATAATCATGTAAAATTTATATAAAGAAATAAGTAAATATTCTTAACATTATATTCTTTGTCTTCATGCTGTTTTACTTTGTTGTATTTTATTTATATCAAACTTTAGTAACATACTGGTATTAAAATTTAATTAATTAAAATTGTAATGATAATTTATGTAAATAATTTAAATCTATTTTGTGTTAAAATTTTATACTTGAATTTACAATTTCAAAGTTAAAAATATTAATTATGAAGTGTTATTATAATCGGTTATACAATGTAGAAATAATTACTACATATTTCGTAAATGTAGTTAGTTTGGAAAAGGGAAGAAAACCAATCAATACCTTTGCTTCAATAGAACTAGGCTATGGTTGGTTTATATAGTTTTAACGAACCAGTAGAATGAACGATTAATCGGTAAAATCGAGTACTGCATTTATATACTTGATGTATAAATATCTTTTACCATGAGATTTTAAAACATTACTTTCACAAAATAAGGATATTTTAATTAATAACGTTATATAATATTAAAGTACACCCTAATTTCTACATACACATACATGTATAGAATTACCGCCATTATGGTCAAATGATATCTATCTTTGTTCATCTTTCTATGGTCTTACAAAATTATCTATTCACTTATACTGTATTTACGACCGAAGATTTTACTTTTAGTTATCGTAAAAGCAAATTATACTGTTAAAATCAAACTTATAGTGTATAAGTGTGAAACAATAAATAAAAGAGTTCAGAAATCAGTGACAGGTGGTTTGACGTTTATTCGCCGCCATCGTTATTAGCGACAGTGATCTGCCATATTGCGCGTGATATAAAGAACTGTAATACATTTACGTTATCACAGTTATAACTTGTGCGTTCGATACAAGAATTTACTGTTTATGTAGTAATAATATTTTAAAGGAATCCTTATAATTCCATTTGTGAGAAAATATTTCACGGTAGTGAGCTGTAAAACGGTGAGTAGACGGTGCATTGTTGACATCAGAAACTTTTTTTAGTGAACAGTTGTCATCAGGAAATTAAGTTCTAAATGCTTGTCTCTACAAACTTAAAAACTAATATTATTGTATATTTTTACATAGTCATTTCTAACTTACTTAATATTTTCGAATGATAGTAACAATTATTGTTTAAGTTATTATTGGTCATATTAATATTTTATTGAAAAACACTTGAATAAGCATGTGTATAGCATTTTTGTTATCTTTATTTCATTTTTTTACTTTTACCCAAATTTTCATAAAATATTTTACAGTTAAAATAATAACTGTTAATATGTTACCTAATATATGTAACTTTGCAGTGTATCTACTTGTTAATTTAATAAAATGTTTATTCAATTTATTAATAGTTTTATGATCACAACAAAATTTATTAATAAAAGTTTTCTTGTAACTTCTTATAATGTTTAATAAATAGTATTATGGGTGTAATCACAAATTTATCATATTGCAACATAACATATATTTATTATTGTATTAGTTTGATTTGTGGTCCTTATGAAAAATGTAATAGATTATGGTTTTAATATATTTATGTTTAACAGAATATATTTTACATGAAGTTTTAAAAAACTATAAATTTTACAAATTATTTATTTACAGATAAAAGATGTCAACTGGACCTTATAATTACTCTTATATCTTTAAGTACATTATCATAGGAGATATGGGCGTAGGAAAATCATGTTTATTACATCAATTTACAGAAAAGAAATGTAAGTTGTTACATTGAAAAGTAAGAGAGAATTAAGGCATTAAAATTATAAATTCTAGATGCATCTATGTATGTATTTTGCAATTACATTTTGTTAAATATAACTTTTTTAGACAATTTCAATGTATATGTGTAAATGTTCCTTTTTAATTTCAGTAATAATCAAATTATTTAATTTTAATTTATGTAAAATGTAACTGTTTGTTTGAAAAGCTTTTCTTGAAAAATAGAAAAATGATTTTCTGATTATTGTTACTTCATTGTGTACAGAGTAATATAATAATTTTTTCTACATTTTAGTTATGGCAGACTGCCCACATACTATTGGTGTTGAATTTGGGACAAGAATTATTGAAGTAGCAGGACAAAAAATAAAATTACAAATATGGGATACTGCTGGTCAAGAACGTTTTAGAGCAGTTACTAGGTATAGATGATTTTCTAATTAATAAATTGTAATATTTTACATAAAAAGGCAGTGTAATATATTTGTATATACCATGTATTCCATAGATCTTATTACCGAGGTGCAGCTGGAGCATTAATGGTCTATGACATTACTCGGCGTTCAACTTATAATCATCTTAGCAGCTGGCTTACAGATACAAGGAATTTAACAAATCCAAGCACTGTATGCAAAATATGATATTTTAAATAATGGTATTTATGTCTGTAAAGTGTAACCACATTGATGCAGAATTGTCAAATGATGTACTTCTTATAATCTACAAATGACAAATTCGTGTTACATGTATAACAAAAAATTTTACATACTTTTCTTACAGGTTATATTTTTAATTGGCAATAAAAGTGACTTAGAAGGTCAACGGGATGTTACCTATGAAGAAGCGAAACAATTTGCCGATGAAAATGGTCTTATGTTCGTAGAAGCAAGTGCGAAAACGTAAGTTGATGATTACGTGATTAAAGTAATTAAAGTGAATATTAAAGTATTACATTTAAGTTATGCAATTAAATATAGTTGGGTTACATAAATACAAAATAACCAGATTTATCGTCTTTTTATCAGAGGACACAACGTTGAAGAAGCTTTTTTGGAAACAGCAAAGAAAATATTCCAAAGTATACAAGATGGCCGGTTAGTAAAATAAATTTTTATTAAAATAAATTAACTGATACTGTTTGTTACTTTATCAAAAAATTAACGTGATAATTTATTTACCTACAGTTTGGACCTCAATGCAGCAGAATCTGGAGTTCAACACAATCCAAGTCAACCAGGCCGTACTAATCTTCAAGGAGTATCTAATGAACAACAGGGTGGAAAAGATTCCTGCTCCTGTTAGGTCTTTATTTGTTTGTATATAGAAACATGAATTCATCGGTACTATTGATGCATATATGGTTTATACTAAGTATAGCAAGCAAATAGTCTCCTGTCTTTATCCCTTTACCTTTGATATGTGAAGTATACTTAATGAAAAATATCAATTTTTTTTTCTAGTTAGAATTAATTTGCAAGAATAAAATACAGAACCTCGATTCAATATACGTATGCATATGAATTGTACTGATAACAATAATTTTGTATTGGCATTGAAATTAATATTTCAATGTCAAAGCTTTTCTATGATTATTATAATTTGCATATATTTTCCATAGATCTTATACTTTGTTGCGTAAAGAAATTAAATATTAGACAATATGTTGTACTCACAAACCTTATAGTACACGTGTACAAGGTGCATTGTACGAAACATTTATTTAATCACAGAAAAATATGATAAATATGAATGTGACACAGTCAAATAAGATAAATATTTACCATTGTAAATTAAATTTGTGTGACAAGATTGAGCACGTTTGATCGTGTTTGTTATCTAATTTACAGTTTAAAAGCTATTGTACTATAAGCTTAGGTGCAAAAGATTGTTGGTAACATATTTGAACTCTCAACAGTATCAAAACGTTGTCATAAAATGGCATGATGAAACAAAATTAATGTCAATTTTAGTGTTCCATAACTACAACCCCATTTTCATATCATTTGAAGCATAAACATTGCTAATGAAAAAAATATAAGTTTTGTTTCTTGTTTAAAAAGGATTTTAATTTCTAATACAATTGCTAGTTTTGCAATATTTCCAATTTGATAAAAAAGAAATATAATATATTGTTATTGTTATCATTATTTCGAAAATTTTAAACTGTCAGTCCTTTTAATAGGACATATCTATGAATATAATATTATATTATGTTACTGAAGTGGTTTTCTGACTGCTGAAGTTGAAGTATTATATCAATTTGTACAGTTGACATTATACATCTTATAACTTCATTTGTATCTCATGTTTAAATTTATAAAACTATTTAAAAGAAATATTGCTTATAAAATTTATCATTTTTACACATTTAATTGACAACTATTTTGTGCTTAGCAGGAATTTTACTCTTTTAATACATCTAGTGGTAATCTTTCTTTTTTTATACTATTCCTAATCAAAACGAAGATATACAAAAGTGATTAGTTTTAAAAAATATCAAACACTGCTTTGGTTTAAAAAAATAAAATTAGCATAGAAATTGAAAATTAGTGATAGATATATCTTATTTAATTTATTGTAAAAATAATTTTTATTTATATTAGCAAGAAAAAACGAAGAATAATTTGAAATAAATTCAACCAAAGTTTTTCAAAGCCGTTTAAATATAATTATTGTCCTATTATGTATGCGTTATAAAATTTAAATAAATTTTAAATTAGTAAAAAACAATTCAATATATAGGAGAAATTCAAAATACTTTTTTTTATTTGGTATGTTATTTTTCTTCAAAAATAATTTAAATTTCACTTATTCAAAATATTTTTCATACCTTGTATATATAAATAATTAATGATAAAAACAAGTATTTTTATTAAAAATACAACAAAACTATTGAATTCGTATGCTTGATAACGAAATAAAAATTACATTTGAAATAGAGTATTATTTCTTGTTGTTTTGTGATAAAAAAGGCAGAGTTGAAAGATTGCCAATGATTCATACAGAAAACTAATCATTAGTAGCACGTTTCAAATAATTATCTCTTAAATTTAGCATATCATGTAATGACGTGTTTGTTCTGTTTAATGTAGCATTACTACTACACAATATTTCACTCTATCATTTCAACAACACATTTTTAATGATTCCATTATGACTGTTTTGAAATATTCCGTTTTATCTAGCTGCATTTAGACTTCTTGTTTTTAATTAGGAAGACTATTTTCTTTATTAATAAATTATAAATTTGCAAATAAAATTCCTGACGATACTTATAACGCAAGAATGTGTTTTAATTTTACCGCGTAAATGTATTACGTAAATACAGTTTGAAAACAGAACGTGGTATGTATTACGTCTTGAAATAAACATATAAATTCTATTCTGCATATAATGCATATAAGGAAAGTATAAAATTCGATACAAAAAATTAAATTGTTATTACGAGATAAATTTTGAAGTTAAAATTTGTATGTGGCAATGAATTTCAAAATTATTTATAGCATCTTTATGGTTGGGATGACGTTTCCTTTGACAAGAGGGTGAGTTATATTTTTGAAAATAGCGAAGATTAATATATTTTCGTTTTTCTATTTGTTAAAAAGGTATTTAAAAATAATCATTTATAAAAATTAAGCTATTCAATGTAGTCATTACCTTTTTCATTTCTTTGTATTATTTACAGATCTGTTTAGTATAATAATAAAATTATAGGATACAGTTTTTAATTATACATGCAATATATTCATAATCCATTTTTTATAATTACGTTTGTATTGTGTCGTATCGTTATTAAGACTAGCTGTGTTGTAACAATTCACAAATAATAAAAATTGATAATTTGACCGATATTAATTTTGAACAAAATAATATATAGATGTACTTAGCAGTTATTTCTTGACAAATTTGATTAAAAATTAGTAACTTCAATAATAAAATATGAAATTGAAATTATTTAATTTTATAAGTTAATTCATATTTCCCTGATTTATTAGAATCGGTAATAATCGTATCGAA